TTTTTTTTTTTTTGCGAAAATTGATGAGCTGGCTAGGATGTATTCCAAAAACCGATCAAAAAGGCTTAAATATGAAAGAGGAAACAAAGCAAATGCAAAAGAAACGTCAAGAACAGAAAAAAACTAAAGGTAATAAGTTTATATATAAAAAACGTGTAGGACTTGTCGTCATGGACGGCAAGTCCTACTCGTTTTTTATTTATGAATTTAATTACCTTTACAGTTTTTCTAATTTTGACTTTTCTTTTGTATTTGTTTCGTTTCCTCACTTCTGTTTAGGCTTCTTGATCTGTTAAATTGGCCATGAACTTTTGCTCCAGAGTGGAAGTTTGTTTTGTAAAGTGCGGAGACTTGGTGGAAGGTGGGACGTCAATTAGCTGCAGTGGCGGGGGCATTTTGAAATTCAACTCATGCGTTAGTGTTACCTTAAATCGCCCAAGTTTTTTGTCCTAAGGTGTTTTCACTTATATCAATCTTTTAGGAACGTGTGCGTGAACAGCTCAGTGAAATGTCCCGTCTTCGTGAAGAACGAAATGGAGAAAGCAACAGTGAAAACAGCGCACCTCCGAAACGTCGGCGAGGACGTCCCAGAAAGAATAAAGACGAGCCCAAAGTAAGCTGCTCACATGTTTGAGTAGCTAACCACTCCAGTTTATATATTTTTTAAATTTCAGTCAAATACAAGTAGTACAACCACACCTGGTCCACGTAAAAGAAAAAGCAAAACAAGGCAATCAAGCTCAGAGAGTACCGGTGAATTCAGCCTTGATGATGACTTGGAGGAAGAAGAGGAAGAACACGATGAACCGGAAGACGATCCGGATGACCCTGAATTTGAACCAAATCGTAGAACTAGCCGTAGGCAGCGAAAAGTGAGCTTAGCCTCATTAGGCTTTTTTTGTTTCAGATTTTGCAATTCGTCTACTAATGGTATATTTAAAAGTAAGGAAGATTCACGGTATTTCAGCCCGTGAAGACATATAATCAAAGGGTATTGTTCAAGGAAGAGATGTCAAAGTCGAGAGAATCGTTCGTAACGGTTCGTGAAGTAATATTTTTGGAATGATTCGGCTGTAGATTTATCATATGGGTTGCTTCGTTTTAGAAAGCTCGCAGTCGTGGTCGACCTCGAGGTACAGGTAAAAAGCGAGTTCTTGATACTGTGGTGAGTGGTTGGCCAGAGGGGCTAGATCGTAAGAAGATGGTTGCCGGGTCAGATGTAAATGAATACGATCGTTTAATCAAGGTGAGCTAACCTTTCCTCGCTATGGGTTCCCCTAGGATCTCTCACCATCAAGGTATTTTAATGAAAATTTATGTTCAAATTTCTAGGAAGAAATAGCGCTATATGAACAACATTTGCCGAAGCTTCCACCAGTGATTCCTGATCCAATGCAAAGGCTATACGTAGTGCGCGTGGATGGGGTTGAAGCACTTCAACATGCTGGTGCAGGTTTCCGATTGATGACCAGCTGTGTCACAGATGACATGATGGTTTCCTTATTGTACGTGATGTTTCCAGTATTTTCCATGGAGGAACCTACGTCAGTTTCCAAATGTTTAGAAATGTTCTTTCAGCCACGTGACCACGGATAGGTACTATGTGAACAATAATGCTGAAGACGTATTACAACTCGCTCAAGTGTTACGACATGTTGTAAGTTCTACTACTTTCGTTCTGATTTGTATCATTCCCTTCATTCGAGAAGTCGTAAATTCTAAACTTCTTTCGCCTTTTTTCGAGTCGAAGCTGGCAGTAGCATGACCAGAAAAAGTTGCTTGCTACATAATGGGTTACGTAATTTTTTCCGACTGTGGGACTTTCCTTACCGGTCTGAACTGCCATGGAGCTGATCTGCTGCTTATGCAGTCAATATGCGTTGAGTGGAGTGTTTTCGGTCGTCGCAATGTTTGGAGAGATTAAAATCCTTTTTGTGGAACTGCTTAGTTTTCCGAAATTGACTTTGAGACCTTTTTGTATGAACAGTCGTGAGCGTTCGGTTATAAAAGCCCATCTTCTGAGGATCGCCCCAAGAGCAGACAAATGCTAACCACTGAACTGACCGCGTCCAGAATGTACGCAAATTTTAGTGGAACATGCTACCGTTGAAAACTCGTTTGGCTTGGGAGGATGCGGCTCGCAAAGCGGCTTTGACTGCTAAGGAAAAGGAGGAAGCTAGCGGTATAAACGATTGTGATATATTACTCTTTGCGCTACCTAATTCTTCCTGTCTTTTAGAAAAAGAGGAAAAAGAGAAAGAAGAAGAGAAGGAGAAAGAAGAAGGAGAGGAAGGACCATCACGGAAGGCAACAATGCCGTTACGAGACTTTCCGTTTGGCATAAAACCTACGGAACATCAGCATGCGGGAGATGCTCCGTGTCAGTTGCTAACGGTTCATGGTCCACATCCTGTAGATGCTGCAAGGAAGAATCGGGCAATTGAAAGCTCTTGTTGTTCCATTCAGACTAAGTGGAAAACATTCACAGATGTACAGGTAGGCTATTAGCTTTTTAGCCTTTCGTGACTTTTTGAAACCTTTCTATTGTTTCACCACGTTTTGTTTTTCAGTCGCATATGATCGCGGGTCATTACACGGCTATATTTTATGGTTGTCATTTTTGCGGTACTTTATATCAGTCGGTTGAAGCTCTTCTTGGGCATTCCGATTGTACTCGATGGTCGGCAATGTTGCTGACACAAATGGTAAAAGATGGAGGCAAAAGGATGCGAAAAGTGAGAATAGGTTTCACTTTCAGCATCCGCTCCGTTATTCCAGACTATGTTGCCCAGAATTCGCTGAACTATTCCTTCCTGTTGAAGTCTCTTTTGTTGGTAACAAAACGTTTTGTCATTTGACCGCTATGGTGTAGCATCTGACTTCTAAAAATCATCCCTTGCCTATTTCTAGTCAAGTAACCTTCTCCACTCACTGTGTCTGATTGAATTGTACAATTATAGGTCCACATGAGGGTAGCCTATATGTTCCTAGTTTGTTCTGATTGTGGCCTATGGCTTCCTATAAGGGTGAACTATCCCACAGATCGGTTGCCAAAAGCGTGGAGCTTTTTCGCTACTGTTATGGTGAGTTTCGCGCACTCGTCGATCTTGATGCGCTCGTTTTTTCGTTTTATTGGCCTGTTTGCTGCAGAAATTGCTTTTTCAAGGAAAATCACACATGCAAGAAATTAGTTCCCTTGCTGATATATATGGCGGAACTGATGGAGGTGCCTACGAGGGATGCTCGTATTGTAATTCAGTTTGTTCCTTCGTTTTTGAAGTGAGTTTGTATTTATGGATACAGTCAGTCAAATTTTTTGTGGATGTAGTTACTGCGTCTTCTGAAGTATTTAAAATACTGTTCGTATGATACTCAGTAGTCGTGAGGCTTAATAATCCTGTGGTTTTTTTTTTTGGAAGCAGGCACTGTAATTTGAGCCGGTGACACTAACTTATTACTCGCGTTTTTAGGAATTTTCCTTATACTTGTGAAGAGTGTAAAATCGAAGCGTTCTCTTCGCCGGATGAAATGGATTTGCATTTTCAAAAAGTCCACCATATAAAGTATAAATGCACAAAGTGTGGAGAATGTAGTGGCACGGAATTGTATCATAAGTTAGTTGTTTACTTGTTTCGAATTGATTTTTTCTTTTTTATTCTCGAAATTTATGCTCCAATTCCTCAATTTGGTCGATAATTTATGGTTCAATTATTTCGTTTTATATATTTATGCGTTGAAAGAAGAAGGCAGAGAAATTATGCAAGAAAAATAAACTTAGAATTGACAATACTGTTCGGAATTTTATCGGTATGATATTTCATCAAAATATTTATTTTGCATCAAAGGAGCAACTATTCTGAATTCTGGAGCTTCACATGTAGACAACTTTTAAGCCAAAGCATTTAGAGCCCACTTGACAACTCATCTGTCTGATTCTTTGTTACTTGCGGATTATCTGCGTACATCATGTACATTTCATCCCCCACCTCATTGCGCGAATGCTCCCGAGGTTGTGGGTTCTGATCAGAGAACTCCTGCCAGTGGTGGATCGACAACCACTCAGAATCCCACACTGATGGCACACGATCTTGTGAGTGTTTGGTCGAATAATTGTCGTTGTTATTGATGTAGAGAGAGGCTTGCTTTCGCCTAGGCTTAGCTGCCAGTAAGATGTCTCTCTGAATCTCCTGGTTCTTCGGGTTTTTCAAGGCTATCCTCTATGCGTTATAGAGGATTTGGCTGTACCTTGAAACTTTTCTTTTGTTATTTATGGAATTTTTGTTGACCAAACGGACCACGATGATAAATAGTCAAAATTTTAGATTAGCCATTGCGAAGAGCTTCCCGAATTGAAAATTTTGAATAGCTTGGAAAATGCGAAGATTGCTGGTGTCTCGTCTGAAGAAGAAACCGATGAAGAGGAAGAAGCGGACCCGTGCAAGCGTGAGTTGTTTCGTGCTTCCTATAATTCCTTTCCTGGAGTTGTGGTTGGACTACATTTCCTGATTAACTGTGAGATCCATGATACTTTCTATTTTTTATCATTGTATCACATTTAAGACCGCGCTGATGCTGCATATGAGAATTTTGACTACAGCTTATTGGAACGATCTCAAGAAGAAAAAGAGGCAAAAAAGGAAGTCAATGAAATTTTCCATAAGGTGGGAAAATAGTGGTATTTCGACCAAAATGCAGAACTCAGGAGTAATAATCTAGGTGAACGGTACTAGCGATCTCGAAGATGCGGTTCTGAATTGGCGATGTCGTGTTAATGATCCTGTCAAGACAGTTGCAATGCTCAACGCTCATCCTCCTCGTCCTGTAACATTGACTGTAAGTAATGTTTGATTAGTTCTTACAATCGGTTAGCTCTTATTTCTTTCTATTAGTGCTGGTCCCTTAGAATGGCTATTCATCACTGCTGGACTAATGATTTAGTGATTGATTTCAGACCTCGCTTGCAGCCGATAAGTTTGCTGATTTATTGGTAAGCAAATTTATGAAACGAATCTCGCTGCCGATTTCTGCTTGTATGGAGCTTCTATCAGGCAACTTGTTCTTGAAAAGGTTCGTTATTTTTTTTTTCTTTTTGGATCAGATTTTCCTGTCAATACTGTCTCTGTAATAGGGAATAATGCAGCTCCGTACTACTCTGGTTTTATTCAATATTGTCAAAATGTATGTTATTGGTTGATTGTGGGGTGAGAAAGGGGCTGAATTTGTATTTATTTTTTGCAGAGTAGTTCAAAATCCTGTAGATTTTATGCAGTTCTNGCTGAATTTAACATATCAAACGAGTGCTACACTGTCAAGCGCGAAGGATAACCTTGTATGATTCGAAGTGAATTTACTTATTGGGCGAGCGCGATACCGTTTCCATCACCTTCCTCATTTGTGGATCTTTTCGAACAGTCCAGCTTAAGTTCAATAGTGGGTACGCTCCATCGAAAAAATGATTTTTGATCGACTACCAAGCTCTTAACACCGGCTAGTTGGTTTTAAACGATTCGAAAGAGGGTGAGATATATAACGCGATTCAATAGGAGACCAAGTAGCCCTGAATTATCCATCCTTTTTTACCGAATGTTCAAGAGAGAGAGAGGGAGAACTGAAACGAAGAAAGTGGTAGAAGTATAAGTGGGTTGTTTAGGAATTGGTTTCAGTGTTTTCCGCCTCTCATACTACTGTCTTTAGATATATGTTCTGCTCCATTTGCAACACCATCCTCACTACACAATCCGGTATTGATACTCATAACAAATCGAAATGTGGCATAGATGGGGTCAGTTTGATTTTTTGCCTTCTTTCATATACATTACTTTGTTTTCTTCTTCTAGCAGTTGTAACAGGGTTTAGATATGTCTTTTTGCTTTAGCTCACCTCTTTGTACTGCCCACCGGCGCCTGTGAACTCGGAAATTGAATGCCCGACCTGTTCATTCAAATTGTGCTCAATTTCGGCTATGCGTGGTCATATGGCAATACAGCATGGTATCTATGTTGAATACAAGAATGTCACGCAGACAGTGGGCAGCGTATCGGAGTGCAGTGAGTTACATTTTTGATCTCGTGATTCAAAATGAAATTATACCCCAACTTCTTCCTTGCTCTGGTTAGATCGTTAGAGGGCTGGGGTAGTTTTTTCGGTCACAATTAGAAATAATCCTCCTTGGTTCTAGTAGGAATGCCACAACCAACCCCCTCTTGGCAGAGGACTGACTTTTTGTTCATGCTTTTTTTCAGATGCGAGCCTCCAAGAACTGGCGGCCCGCTACCCCGACCTTCGGTCGGCAGTGGCTCGAGATACCGACACCGCCCTTTGGCTACGTTATGGTGTATTACAACCGAAGACGCAGTTTGATATGCAGCTCAAATTGGCTATGAAGTATGTTGTTCATATATTATCCACCTTGATAGAAATCAACCTCACTTTTAAGGGGAATCAGAGTGACGGGAGTGGAACGAAAAGACAAAGCCCAATCTCCGAGTGGCGGAAACGCACTAAGCGCCAAAAATGCACAACGCAATCCTATACAAGCTCGTCGTACTTCATTCCCCCCGGTATTGGAAAGTATGGCACCGAAGCCGGTAGCCGAAGTCAAGGATGATCAACGACAAACGGGAAGCCCCAGTCAGGGTCTCAGTCAGCACTACATTAAGCCATTTGTGCTCGTCAATGTAAGTTGGCAGTAGTATTTGAAAGTCATTAGTTATAAAGTTTTTTGATTCTTCACTACTAATTTTAGAACCTTTCCTAGTTGTATAAAATTTTGTTCCTATTCTATAATACATTGGTGTTTTTGCTCGCTGAAATACTGTCTTAGAAAACGCTCGAGCCCTGTAGCTCCTTAGAATTTGAGTTTTACTTTGAGTTGTAATTTCAGCGAACGTAGTTTTTAGAACATGCTCCGCTGTAAGTTCTGTGCTCATCAAACAAGTACTCCACAAGCTATGAGGGATCACTTGCAGTCGAACCACGTCCTGGTTTGCCGAGCATGCGGAAGTGAGTTCCCGTTTTTTAAATTCTTTTTGTTCTTGGTTTTCTGCTTTCCTTCTGATTCTTACTGGTATTGCGTGGATTGTTGCATACACATACGACTTTTCAGATGGGTTCGCTCATCGAGAGGCCTTGGCACGACATGGAAAGATGGGACGTTGTTCAATGTTTTTCAAAGGTACTTGTCATGCTTTTTCTTCATTCTTTTCTGTTGAATATACGAAAACCTTATGATTTCGAGCTCTAGTCAGTTCTATTTGTCAATTGGTGCTTATGTTCAAAAAAAAAAAATGTTCCAGATGCGTCAGTAAAACACATATCAGCTGACTGTGGTGTGTGCAAGAAGCGTATGTCATTAGCGAGTGCATATCTTCATCTGTTCCGCGAGCATTTGAGCTCCGTCGTTTACGGCACAGTGTCTGGACAGGTAAGATCTACTGCAACGGTTTGTCTAGTTTTGGAATGGGCTGTAGGGATGATTTCAGGTTTATCCGGAGCATCAGAATCTGCATATTGACCAAAGCCTGGGTGAGGTCCCTAATGCGGTAAAAGATCCTGTCATCTATTCTCCATCTATCGATCAGCAATCGAAGGAACGGAGCAATCGGGAAGTGGTGTTGTACAAAAGACCAGCCAACGTGGGTGGAGGCCATATTTTACCTCTCGTTGTTACCTTTCCTTGTTAATGCTCTTCTCTGAACCGTTTTACCTATACCGTGCGCGGTTTTGTGATGAAATTCCTCATGAATCCCGTAGCACGTCCTGCAATTTGTTCTTTTTTCCAGTTTGATAACGTTACAGTCCTCTTTTTTGAATATTTTCTGTTTGTAGGTGGTTTGCTCTTGTTATCTGTGCGGAATGGAAATGGCTAGTCTGGAACAGTTGGCAAGGCATCTTAGTAGGCACACCGAGAAGTGGACAAGATGTCCATTTTGCTATGGTAAGTGAAATTTCCATACTTTTCTGTACAATGTCGAGTTGTATTACGGTAAATAGGGGCAAAACTTGTCCTCACGTAAACGTCCTTGACGAATAAGGCTCCTTAAGTGCCATAAGGCCCAATTGGTGAGAACCTAAAAGAAATTTCTTTTGCATTTATGTCCCTGTTCACCTTATTTCCAATATTCTGTTCCAGATAACGTACCTATTCCAAGTCACGAGGTGATGAAGGCACATTTAATGGAGAGGCACATGCAGAAGAGGGATGGCTCATGGGTAGGTGTTTGTAGAAGGGCAAATCCGTTCATTGAATCTTCTTTCTTTGATGGGGATGTTTAGGTATGTCGGTATTGCCAACGAATGTTGGTGCGTGGCAGTTATGCGCACTTACTGTATATGTGCACGCAAACACGTAAATGTGCTCTTTGTCGTGGGGAGCAGACCGTGAAGAATGCTGCTGAAATGACCGTTCACTGGACAAATAGGCATTTAGACATTCTGCGCAGGTGGGTTACGAAGAGTAGGCCTAGAATGACTATTGTTCGATTGTTGAGCTGCTATCTGCTTGTCTGCTTATATTTAGTAGCTTCACGCTTCCTTTTTTACAGATTTCAATGTTCTGATTGTGGTATGACGTTTTGCCATGTTGAAGATTTTTGGGCTCACCAGTGCCGCTCATATTTCATGCAGCAAAAATGTAGTTGTGGCTTCGATACGGTAGGGTTATTGTGGCATCAAATTCATACGTGAAGACTGAATCAATGCTTCAGGTCTTTTCATCGCGAACAGCGTTCCTTTTACACTTTGGAATGCATATGGATGAGCCAAACATGACATGTAAATTGTGCAAGTTTAGATTTGCTACTCGAGTTGCGTTACAGGTAAAATTTGCTGGCTAATTGTAAGGAAACAGAGAGAAATGTGTCTTTTTTTCAAGAACCACCGTCTTTCTCATGCGATATTGATCAATAGCTCTAGTGGACGTCAGCTGGTCATTTTGGACACGAAGCTCGTTGTGCCAGAGGTGATTTCTACTTTTTAACAATTTGAAATATTAATAAATTACATACATTCGCTCCAGGTCCTTGATGACAAGCGGTTGAAACGTGTAAGGGAGACGGAACCGATGACGGAAGAAAAACGATGTGAGTTTTGTGAATCAGAGAAGATTCAAGTGAACTTTCCTTCAAACTCTTTCTTCTGGATTGTTTCTGAAAATTGCTTTTCTTTTACTCTTGATTCTAGATATACATAGTCTAAATGATGTAAGAAAATACCCAATAAGGGTGGATAGTAGTGACAAAACGAGCCACTCAGTTGCGCGCTCCCCCTACAATTAACTATCTTCTTTTGGCGGGCTTTATCCACGAAATTTCCCAGCCTCACACAACTTAACCATGTATTTCTAACTCCTTTCTGGTGACGGTATTGCGGTAGAACGCTGTTGAGATTTTCGGTTTTAGCACCACCTATCTCGCTGTAATTTCTACCTACTGGAGTCCAGAGGTCGTGATTGAGCCAAGTCATATTAGTGATGATGCTATTTCGACAAGAGGGCGCAGACGTCCAAGATAAGCGCTCATTTGGGCGCGAGTTTTGAATTGAATTTACTTGTCCGTCTCATTGGCGTCTCGTCAGATGCCCTGCTTTAACATGTTAACTCCCGTGTTGGTAGAGCAGGGAGAGCGTCAAGGACATCTCAGGGCAAGAGGGCTCGCAAATCCCTCCCCTCCTCACCCGCAAGAGCGTTTTCCGTTGAGTGATCCTATTCGTGACCCCAACCCTTTGCGTGAGAGTGTAGGGCCGTCGCGTGTTTTTCTTCCCTTTTGTTTCACTTTATCTAACAGTTCTATTCAGTGAGTATGGACGTTGCGATGACCATACGGAATCTTATGCGCAAAGTTTGTGAGGTGCTTGGTGAACCGTATGAGGAACCGAAGGATTCCTCACCGCATTCTGAAGTCACTGTGGAAGAGGATGACATAGTCGAAATTGGTCAGTTTCTATTAGACGCTGTATGTACTACTTGTTAGTAATACTCAGTCATACGATGGCACTTTTCAGATAGTCCTCGAGTAGATGATGATCTTGTCGATAACGCCGAAACGGCACCAACTACGACTCGGGCTACCCTATCGGCTCAGGTTCGCATTGAGGCAGCAGATGGTGTGCTGGATGCCGGATCAGGAATGCCTGGTTACGTGGAGGATGACGAAGACGATGCTATTGAGTGTATTACTACGGAGGTGAGGTTTTTGAGAGGCGTCTGGTAGTCCTGACAGCAACGCTGGAGTATATTGTTGACAATTGTTTCAGTCCTCTTACGAATTCCTTCTCATTCGATGTATTTGTCAACAGGAAAAGGGAACCAAGCATATGACGCACGAGGGGAAGGGTTTTCCAGGGTCATGGTTGAATCTTAAATTGTTTAAAGACAAAGTAGCTTAAGAGAGGGTGACTCACTTTCAAAGCTTGTTGTCCCCTTTTCCATTCACCCATCATTAGTTTTTCCACAGTGCTGCTCATATCCCTTCCTATTCTGAGCTAATTCTGTAAAGTTGAATGGTTTTCCTTCCAGAAGGCTGAGAAGGCGCCGACAGGTGCTGCCATCGTGAAAGCTGTCACTGACGACACTGCAGATGATGATCTGAAAGTGATTGCGGAAGTCGAGTAGTGAGTTTGACATCAAGGGTTCTTGTATTTTTGAAAATTCTTCTTTCTTTTGAAAGTTTCTTACTTATTCAAAAAGTATTGATTCCCATATTCATCAACAAGAAATCATGAGTATACCATGTTATGCATGAATTTTAGTGCTCCTGGAAGTAGCGGAGCGACAACGGCAGGTGGCCGTGAAAAGAAGTTCAAATGCTCGAAATGTAGCTGTACATTCATAACGTCGTATGCATTGAGAAATCACGAATTGTCTGCGCATAGTACAGATGCTGGAGGAATTTGTGATAAGGTTGGAGGCTGAAAGTGATAAAATATCCACAACTTTTTCAAAATTGCTGTTCAGGTGTTCGGCGTACCAGTACGAGGATTCTTTTTCATATGCCGTAACTGTTGTGCAGCATTTGAAAGTCAACAGCAGTTCAAGCTACATCGGGTGAGTAATTTTGTGGGTTAAAATTACACGCTAATTTCGAGACAACTAGCTAATAGTAGACAGCTGTGGAAATAATTCGCCCTCCTACCAGTTTTTCAGGGTAGCGTAGAATGTAAGTGGGATTTGATTACTTCTACGAGTGCTTCACACTCACACCTCGAACGACCCATTCATAAGCAGGCGGTCGAAGAGTTGAAGGAAATTACTGAAATGTTTGCTTGGCCTGGATTACCGACCAAAGTTAAACTGTAGCCCTTATTATGCATAGCAGTTTTTGTGTGGGAATATTTGCCAAATGAAAAAATAATATGTTGCAAGTATTGGTAGTTCTCAAGGAGATTATTAGATTTGAATAACCATGATTCCAGTTATCTCACGGCCCGACGGGTTCAGTCTCGTGTGGAGAATGCTCCGCTATCGCCTATAATACGCCCCTTTACGAGCATCATCGGCAAGCTCATGCAACACCTGATCGGCTATTCTATGGATGTAGTCATTGCAATTTGATGTTCCGAACGGTTAGGGCTATATTTATTTTTCGAATTTCATTCGTTTTTCAATGTAATGCAAGATACTGTAATTTATTGGTATATGCATGTTTCTGGTTCCACACTACAGCGTAACTTCTTCGGAGAAGAGGTTTCCATTGAATTCGCTGGCAATGGGTTAATTCGTATTTATCCTAAGTTTATATGATATTTTTTCTCGAAGTAAGCGTATGCTTCCTCTGCATGGATGTCACGGCAATGTCCTCCTGCATCGTCATAGCTGTGAGACACACAAAACTCGCATTCTATTCCATTTGTTCTTGTCGTTCTAGGGAAAACCCCAATTTGAACTTGGGTCTAGCTTCGAACATAATTTGATTGTTTATTTCAGGATGCTCGTCTGATGTACCATTTGCGTGAAGCCCATGGTGTATCGCTGTTCTTCTTCTGTAAGGCATGTCATTTGGGTGGCACTCATGAGCGAACTGTATACGCACATGTGGCAGTGAAATCACAACGATGCCGCCAATTTGGAGCTCAAAAAAATTGGGTATGGCTTATTTTGTTGCTTTTATTACTCACAGATCTTCAGCGCGGTTCATTAAATCTCATTTTAGTAGACTATTTTCAGAACAGCATTATGATGCTCGGAGTTTGCCCAACTAGCGTGCTACATTATCAACCGAGATGTATAGCAACACATGAATTTACTTTGGATCGCAATGGGGTAAGCAAACTCGCTCATGTTTTTCGCCCAACCAGAGTTTGAAACAGAGAGTTCATTTGTCCTAACCACGCTCTACCTTTTTTAGAAATTTCTTTGTGTGTTGATGTTAGCTATTGGCGCTATATTTTAAGGACAACACACTGTAAAAATTATGCCTCGGAACTTTTAGATCGAGGTCGTGACTCCATCCGAGTGTGTACATCGTTCCTTCTTGGCACCGACTGATTCATTGATCACTTGCAGGGATTGTTTCTGCACTGTGAGTATTCTTTAACTCCTCTTGTCTTTTACGAACCTCTTCGAGAGCTAGNTAGTTCATTCTTTGAAACAAAGTTTTTCCGAAATCAAGGCTAGAGACAACACGTAAGGGTCGTACTCAAAGTATACTAATTGGTTTTAAAATTCCAGATGACAGCGGCATCGTTCACTGCAGCGGAGACGTTCAGAAACGGGGGAGTTGTAAAGGTTAGTTTCACAGTGGACATTGTAGCAAACATAGATTACTATCCCTTTCCCCTTGATTGGTCGTATAGGTTTAACCACTTACTTTTTTAGGAGCTAGCGATGACGCTCGATAACAGTACAGAATTTCCGTTCCTCGGAATCTACGATCAGACACCGGTGGAGGGCACATCTACAGTAGGTTCTAAGACTACTGTTCGAGAAAAGGCAAACTTAACATTTCAGTTGTCTTTAGTTTTATATAGTTGAAAGCATGCAAAAGTTAAATGTGTCCGGTGAATTTCAGGCCCCTGGGCGTGCGATCGCACCAAGACCAACGGAAATTCAAACCATTTCAAGCAGTGCGTTGAATAACATGAGGGTTTGCCCGGAACCACCATCAATTTCTCGACTGACCGTGCGACCACCACAACCATCGCATCCGTTGCCCGTCGGTACACGAGTTGCCGCAGTTGCTCCGCTAATGAGTAATAAGATTAGTCCATTACCAGTCAAGGTAAGTTCGCAGGCCCTTCCTGGATACTCGTTGACTCCATTAGTGTCTTTACAGCGTCGCCCTGCTCCTAACTCAGATGTGATAACTCTGAGTGACGACGAGCCTGGTCCATCGGCTCCAAAACGAGTACCTCCCCCACGTGCGCCAGTTTCACCATCACCATTGGCTGTGAAAAGTAAACCTGTTGATAGCAGCAATCGATGCAAGGTATATAACTCACTTTCATTTTACAACTTATTCCAATTTGTACGGGTACCTCAGCTAAGTGACCAATCCAAAGTAACCCCAGGTGTCAGCTCTTCAGAGGCGACTTCAATTGTTGAATACGTTCTTTTATAGATTTGTGACGCTACAATGCCATCGGCTCAAATTCAGTCGTTGCATGAGTTACACAGGAACGGAATGGTAAGAAACTAGTTTATCTTCCACTCTCTTTGTTCATATTCCAGCTGAAAGCCCTTTTTGATGCCTTTTTTGTGAGGATTATTGATTGGCCGTTCAGAAATGGTTCTGTCTGGATTGCGCCAGCGCTCAAATGGATGAAGTGGAGGCGATGAAGCATTACTTCAGTACTCATGTGAAGGTAGCAGAACAAAAGGCTGTTGAAAAAGGTAGTTTTTATATTATTGTTGTGGTCTGTGAAACACAATTCCTAGATGGGCGAAGCATGTTGTGCTCGAGCCGTCCACTTTATTTAGGGCTACGCGATAGCGTTGGTTCTAGTCGTAGCATTCAAAGGCGTATTATTGCGACCTTCTAATTTCCCCAACCGTCCTCATTTATCCATGTGCATAATAATAGTGAGAAATGAGATGACCTTATTTGTTTGTATATCGTTTGGCCAGCCCCTCGCATCCAATTTGTCATTGGTAGCTGAGCGTGACCTTATAATTGCCTTCTTGGAGTCTCCCAATCGAGCGGTTTTTAGCTGGACAACTTGTCCAGATGATCCAACCCTCCTGATCATGCTAATCGGCCAACCAATTGGTGGACCGGAATACGCCGGTTCTGGCGAGACCTGAATACGCCGGCTCTGGTGGGACCAGAATACCCGGTTCTGGCGGGACCAGAATACGCCGGTTCTGGTGGACCGGAATACATAGCCACAATTCTATCCAGCAACTACATTTGAGTTGTGCGAGCGTTAGGCCAAAGTATTTACATTGAACCGTATTTCGTGACGAATTAACATGAAGTTTTTTGGTAGTTCCATTGGATGTGGTGATATCACTCAGATATCAACATTTCTTTTTTTTTTTTTTTTTTT